ATATGTGTGTGTACGTTTCTGGAAGACCGGGTCCGAACATCCTGGGCCGCGATGGAATTAAGCGCCTTCCTGGCATAATGTCGAACGTCAACCTGGTGAAAGACGATCCGCAGTTATCCGAGATTTTGCAGAAGCATGCAGTCTTATTTGATCAGTCGAGATCAGGACTTTTAAAGAATTACAGTACACATCTGGTATTGAAACCACAAACAAAACCGCGGTTCTGGAAAGCTCGCACTCTTCCCTATGCCCTCCGTGATAAGGTCGAAAGTGAACTGCGCCGACTTCAGTCGGAAGGTACCGTTGAACCCGTCCAGTATTCAGACTGGGCAGCCCCCATTGTGCCAGTATTGAAGAGCGATGGTACGATAAGAATCTGCGGGGATTACAAGGTTACGATACACCAAGCTTTAGAATTAGACCGATATCCGCTACCAAAGATTGAAGACATTTACGCTTCCCTTTCCTGTGGTGATCTATTTACAAAACTAGATTTGAGTCATGCCTACCAACAAATTGAACTCGATGAGGAATCACGTACGCACACGACCATTAGTACTCGTCTCGGATTATTCCGCTATATACGCATGCCTTTTGGAATAAGCTCGGCTCCATATATTTTTCAACGTATTATTGACTCACTCGTGAAAGATATACCAAACACATGTGCGTACTTAGATGACATTTTAATTACTGGACGCATTACCGCCGAGCACTTACATACATTGAACGTCGTCCTGAAGCGGTTATCGGATGCCGGTTTGGTTCTATAGAGAGAAAAATGTGAGTTCCTTGTTCCGAGTGTACAGTATCTGGGTTATCGGTTGTCACGTTAAGGATTGTGCCCACTGGAAGAAAAGACAAAGGCGCTACTTGAGGCGCCAGCACCCAAAAATGTTCGTGAATTGCGGTTGTTCCTCGGTGTTGTCACTCAGTTTTCCAGGTTTATACCATCAGAAGCAACTCATCTGCACACGGGTGTGCAATGCTGAGGACCGCCAGTTAGTTTTTGGCAAGAAGTCTTCTAGTTCCTCACTCGAGTGTTTACTGTATCCCAAAGACTGAGGTTGGATAGGCCATGTGTTCGTTATGACCATTGACTGGCCTCCTCGGTTTACATTTTATGCCGTGGCTGCGCCAAGATGGGCGAAACCGCAAGGTGGCCAAGCCATGAGGTGGCAAAGAAGCATGAAGGAACTGCTAGAGAGACTTGGTCAGGCAGATGCGTGGCGCCTTCGTAGAGAGAAATCTTGTGACAGTCCATACAAATGGTTGGAGACCGCAACAGATATGGCGAAGAGAAATTTTTGAGCAATCGGTTAATTCATTTATTTGGCAACGTCTCGCTTTTGACACAAAAGCTTCAGCAGACCAGGTGAACTGGTAGATAGTTGTTGTAGCATTCTATAGCGTCATACGTTATACGAATTCCGGCGACATTTCATTCGGCTGTACGGAGTGGCCAGTTTCAGCAGGTGTCCCTTAGCTTGATGTTATCGCGAGGTTTCATGTGGTGTGAACATGACTTGTTTTCAAAATTGCTAGATCAAAATGAATTCACAGAGTATACGACGATAACTTGACACTCAGAACTTTCAGTCGCAGTTGGAACATGTCCTTCAAATTCTTGGTTGCCTTTCGCTGATGAGTCTACCGTGCATCCAAATCGCGTTAAGCCAGTTGCCAACTCTGAATCACGTCCTCCACCTAGAGCCTTACATACGTATGGAACATTTGCGGAAAGATGAGACTCGAATCGCTTCAACGCCCTTCATAAAATACCAACGCGTTTGTTTCCGGTTCTTGATATCTTCACGGTTTGCTCGAGACCATGTTTAACCACTATCCCAAGGTCGCGCTCTTATGAGGCGGTTTTCAAGATGTGGTCTCCCAGCCTTTATGTGCTAATTTGCTGGTGGTGAACATAAATCACAAAGCACTTACCCGCGCTGGACGAGAGCAGATTAATAGTAATCATTCCCAAGCACGGTTCAGGTCTCGTTGTAACAAAACATATTTTTCCGGATTGCCGATCGCCCGCTATAGCTTGATGCCATCAGTAAAAAGCAAGAAAGGCGACTCGACGACACATGCAAGGTAGTCAGTGGAGACCAAAAGCAAGCGCAATCCCAACACTGATCCTTGGAAATACCGCATTCCACCTCAATCGGACTGGACAATGAACCCTGAACCCAGACACGCAGCGTCCACCAAAGAAGGATATTTCCGATCCATCCAAGGACAGGGTCCATAATGCCATAGGTTTGAAACTTAAGAAGAATGCGGTAGTGTAGGCGTCGGAAGGTCTTGGGAAACTCAAGATATATGACATCAGTTTCGATGCAACAACTATCAGTTTCTGTTCAAGTGATACGCGCAAGCAGAAGGTTGGTTGTACATGACCGGTATTAGCGGAATATATGTTGTTCTAATACCATTTTCCTAAACAACCCATCGGTGTCTCAAGGATGATTACTCCCATTACGTTAGAGACCACTGGGCATAATTTACAGCGGCAGGTAAATGTGAGCAGTTAGCTGACGTATTCAGCGGGTCAAGGTCATTCCCCTATATACAAAAACGACATCACATGACCTATCGCTGCGCACTGTTGATGTCACCACTTTTGGTGATGAAACGTTAGCAACCTGACTGCAAATTTCGGCGAGCACATGAACACTGGATTCGTATAAGCCAGACAGACAAGATAAAATGGGGAACAGATAAATAATGAAGGTTGCCCGTCGGCAACACACCAATCCACGACCGATTTCACAGTGGTTTGTACTTATCAACTAGAAATAGAAGAGACGTACTCGAAGCCAGGGTATCTGGGATGTCAGCGAAAAGCTCTACTCTTAGGCCATTCGAGTCGCGGCGGGCAACGAGTAAGGGCTAAATGGAGTTATTTTTAATGGACCGCGATACTCAATCCCAATCAGGATCGTAATTCCTGTTGTTGTGAACTTGGGTCAATTCGGCCAGTAGCAGATGAAAAAAGTGTGGAAGCTCGAAGGATCGTCGAACAGCCAAAATAAGATTTACAGACTACACAATTCAATAATCTATCCGTAATACATGATACATGCACGTAAATGTGAACCGACGAAACCGTATTTGTATTCAAGCCGTATTAATCGCATCATCTAGTTTACCAGAGAACATTTGACATTACATTGTAGGAGCGTATCTGGTTAGCACATGGTTCGACAACACAACAGTGAGTAGATGACAAGTAAATGCTGAGTGCAGGGAAACATCACACTGAGTAAAACGCCGTCATCTCAGCCGCTACACAACTGTGCATGCAAGTTAATGACCTCAGCGGAAGCAATGTCAATGGATGTAGCTAAAGGTGGGAGATGAGATTGAGGGCTAATGGTTGATTATGAAGTGGGACAAGGAAAAACGCAAGGAAACAAACTAACTGATACTGTCTTCGCATGACAGCCAGCTGTTTGTGACCGTATGTCCCCGACAAAGTGTAGGCACTTGACTCTGAGTGGTTGATTCGGGCGCTTAGATTTTACATTAGATCCAATTGCCTCCCTCCTATTATTCTTTAGACTTCAGTTCGTTATGGTTGTTGGCAGGAAAAGGTCAGCTCAAATAGCTGATGTGTTGTTGTTTACAATGATGATGATGACCAGGCCTTTAATGTACTAGCGTAGCATCAGATTTAGCTTGAAAACAAGTAACAAAGGACATCGAAGACGTAGTTCAGGTGGTTGCCTTCGGTACTTCTTATGAACTAAGATCATGAGTGAAAAGTTCTAGTTCAGAGAATGGGAAAGGCCAGAAGCAGACGACATACTAACAGCAGACAGCCTAGAACGGTTATGCCACTGTAAGTAGAAGTAGATTTCTACTAAGCAAATGCTGGTAAACCTGCGCATTAACTGATGCCACCATGCCCTAGTGACAAATCTTTTACTGCTTATGAGCTGCGAAGTTTTTATAACCTCAATGTTTGGCACTTTCGCTTCCAACGATCTCACGCAGGGCTGTGTCACGCGGACTGCAAAGACGATTGAGACCTCGTTCTTGTACCAAAGAGCGGCGAGTTATGATCCCCGCCGCTTGAAGGGTCAAAACCGATAAACAGACCTCACCTGGTTCATACCTGTGCCTGTTAAATCGGTAACCGTGTCGATGGAAGGATTAGCTGGTAGCGAGAAATTTGTAGCGTACGATAATTGGCAAGCAATATATTATGTCTTCTGCAGATATAAGACGGACCAACCCCCTAAACGTCTTGGTGCGGAAGTACTAGAGCGGATGAAAAGAGAGCACAAAAGCCATCCAAAAAATAGAGAGCGAAATCTAATTTATCTAATTTATAACGACGCCAAATAGGAGCAGGGAAACATAAAAGTGATATCAGAAAATACACTGACCAATCTTGTGACTCGACTGGCGCGGAGCGTTAACCGTGGGCGAAAGAAAGCTTCCGGCTTTAACTAGGACAACACTTTCTACCCACAGTGGAACTGTGACCACAACCTGCTGACCTTAATAAGTCACCACGCTCACCTAGTAGACTCCTTCTTCGCGCAGTCTGCCTTTTGTAGGAGACCGTCCGGTAGGGAATAAAGTAGTCACTAGAAGAGCACCGGTACAAACGTTTCGCTGTCACGGGATTAACAAAAGTTGCGCTTAAGCTATGACTACCGCAACATCACCCAAAGCAACGCAGGGGATCGGGCACAAAAGTGAAATAGGCGAAAGAGCATGGGAGTCTGGTCGCAAGTGCATGCGTCAGCTAGAACTTGACTTGTGAATGCATTGCTTAGTTTCAAAATTCCATTCGCACTATTGCACAAAATCGGAATCAGTGCCGCCCGAACGATAAGAATTTATATGCTGCACAAACGAAAATGGTTTCGTGAGTAGTGTAAGTTGTGTAGAAAACAGAAGCCACGAGTAAACTTTGCACAGGAATCTGCCTCGACGGGGAAACGAACCGCAGACATGCGGATTACCGGTTTCATTCAGCTTACTTTGTCGCAGCAAGGTGTTGAGTTGGCCCCAAGCATCTCGCGGTAGGCCTGTAAACAAGCCGACAGGAGGCGCAGTGGAATTAACATCACGCACGGCGTTCACAATGTGCTCCAGTTGGCGAAGCAGTAACGTGCGTGGAATCATTTCGTGAGTGGTGGGATGGCGGAATTGCAAACGGAAAAGCTGTATGTGGTGAAGAAGCAGGGTGAAGGTAAACATTAGAGAACGAGAACACAATGATCCTTGTCATGTTCGTTCCAAGAGAATCTTGGGAGAACATGTAAACGGTGCACAAGCAAGAGGAGGGACACCTTTCGAAGCGCGAAACGATGCGGCCACAGTTGAACACTCATCTGCCGCATGGAAACCAGATAAGATAAGCCGTTGCCGCTGACTTGTTTGTTACACCAATTGTCTGCGTCGGTTGCTGTAAGCAATATCAATATGAGAGGCGATTAACTTAGAAGTGAACGTCAATCAGCTTGATCACTGAGACAGTTTGCAAAGACGGTCAATGTTGCTGTAGCCCCATCACAATGCTGTACTCCACGACGGGTACAGAGCTAGATTGCAGTTAAGCAACTCAGAAGAATTGGCCTCAAAGTGACCAATAATCGCCGTCCGTCACCTCATTTCTATGTCAGAGTGAAAAGAAAGTTGCCACACGGTCTACACGAACCGCCAGAATGACGTAGATCAAGAAAATGTGACACACAGTTAAAAGAGGTTGTCCAAAATTTAGAGTAGATAGTTGTCTCGGAGTAACGCGCTTTCAGTAGGTTTAAGATTACGAAATGTTGCCATATGCAGTGTTTGCGGTATCATACCGTTAAACGAATATTTGAATGAGAAACTGATGTTACCACAAGATACCGATAATGAATCGAGAAAAGCACTGTTTAGTGGTGGGCGACGGATAGTTGTCTATTGAACGTACCGCGTTAATGCCCACTGCGGTGGATCGATTGCTTGTGTCCGATCAAAGGGATCTTCAATGCAATACTCCTGTCCGTTGCACTCAGCGAGTGAGTCGCTTTACTGTCCCCAGATCATGTTGGCCGGTGTTCTTGTTTGCTTTGCGTTAAACTTGAATTTCCCACACTTTCAAATGCATGCTGACCCGCTTGTGTATGTGTCTTCACAGCACCTGGTGCCATTAAGCCCTAGGGTCACCGCTGATCTGGTGGTAATGAAGCATGTGTTAAATAACCCAAGTAAAATGGCTTGATGTGGCACTTATCGCCTCAGGCCGGCCAGTTTGTCTTACATGGCCCAGTCACACTGCAGTTGTTACTTCCTTTCATCTCGATTCAACTGAGTCTACGACACGTTGACCCCTGGAATCGTAGTAGATCGCCTGGACTCATCTGATTCGCACCAATAATTTGATTTATCCGCCACTCACGTTCAATAGACAACTGCCCGTAGTGCACCACTAAACACTGCTTTTCTCGATTCATTATCGGTATCTGGTGATAACATCAGTTTCTCATTCGAATATGGCAACTGCATATGGCAACATTTCGGAATCTCGAACTTAATGAAAGCACGTTATTCCGAGACAATCATCTACTCTAAATCTTGGACTGCCTCCTTTAACTGTGTGTCACAGCTTCTTGACGTACGCCATTTTGGCGGTTCGTGTAGACCCTGTGGCGACTTTCTTTTCATTATGATATAGGAGTGAGGTGCGGAACAGAAATTACCGGTCACTTGGAGGCCAATTCTTTTGAGTTTCTTAACTGCAATCTAGCTGTGTACTCGTCGTGCAGTATAGCATTGTGATGGAGCTATGGCAACATTGACCGTTTTCGAAAACTGTCTCAGTGATCAAGCTGATTGACGTTCAATTCTAAGTTACTCGCCTCTTACGTTGATGCAGACAATTGGTGTAACAAACAAGTCAGCGGCGAGTGTTTACCGTATCTGATTTACATGCTGCAGATGAGTGTCCAGTTGCGGCCGCAACGTTTCTCGTTTCGAAAGGTATCCATCCTCTTGCTTGCACACCGTTTACCTGTTCTCCCAAGTTTCTCTTGGAACGAACACGAGAAGAATCACTGTGTCCTCGTTCTCCACTGTTTTCTTTCACCCTGCTTCTTCACCACTTACAGATTTTTCGTTTACAATTTCGCCATCCAACCACTCACGAAATGATTCCACGCACTTTACTGCTTCGTCAACTGGAACACATTGTGAACGCCGTACGTGATGTTACTTCCACTGCGCCTCCTGTCGGCTTGTTCACAGGCCTACCGCGAGATGCTTGGGGTCAACTCAACGCCTTACTGCGACAAAGTAAGCCGAATGAAACCATTTTCGTTTGTGCGACACATATATTATTATTGTTGGGGCGGCACGGATTCCGATTTTGTGCAATAGTGTGAATGGAATTTTGCAACTGAGCAATGCATTCACAAGTCAAGTTATAACCGACGAATGCACGTGCGACCAGGCTCCGATACTATTTCACCTGTTTCCTTTTTGTGACCGATCCCCTGCGTTGCTTCGGGTTGTGATGGTGGCGGAAAGCTAAGGCGGAGGGATTCACATGCCTTAGTGCGGTCGATCATTCGAGCGAGTGAGTTTTTGACTATACAGCTAGTTGTACTTTCTGCCTTAGAATTGTAAATAGAATTCTAGTGCGCTGAGCCAATGTGTCTTGTTTCTCTTGATGCGGCTGGGGAGACCCCGGCATAAAACGTGGTGACAGGTGCTGACGTACAAAAACCCACTCGCATGTGATGCACAAACGTTAATTCCAGATGCTATTTCACCTGTTTCTCTTTGGTGACTGCTCCCCTGCGTTGCTTCGGGTGACGTTACAGTAGTCATAGCTCAAGCGCAACTTTTGTTAGTCTCGTGACAGCAAATCGTCTGTACTGGTGTTCTTATAGTGACTGCTTTATTTTCTCTGTCGGTCTCCTCCAAAAGGCAGACTGCGCTAAGTAGGAGCCTACTAGTTGAGCCTAGTGAGTCATTAAGATCAGCAGGTTGTGGTCACAGTCTCCCTGTGGGTAGAAAGTGTTGTCCTAGTTAAAGACGCAAGCTTCCTTTCACCCACAGTTCACGCTCCTCCGCGCCAGTCGAGTCACAAAATTGGTCAGTGTATTTTCTGATATCACTTTTATGTCTCCCTGCTTCTTCTAGTTGGCGTCGTTATAAATTAGATTCCGCTTTCTAGTTCTCTGGATGGCTTTTGTGTTCTCTTTTCATCCGCTCTAGTACTTCGGCATCAAGACTTGTAGGGGTTTGGTGCGTCTGATATCTGCAGAAGACATAACATATTGCTTGACAATTATCTTGCGCTACAAATTTCTTGCTACTAGCTAATCCTTCCATCGATGCGATTACCGATTTAACAGGCACAGATGTGAATCAGGTGAAGTCTGTTTATCGGTTTTGACCATTCAAGCGGCGGGGATCATAATGCACTGCTCTTTGGTACAAGAACGGTCTCTCAATCGTCTTGACAGTCCGCGTGACGCAGCCCTGCGTGAGACCGTTAGAAGCGGAAGTACCAATCATTGAGGTTATAAAAATTTACTTTCGCAGGTCATAAGCAGTAAAATATTTATGGCTAGGGCATGGTGGCATCAACTAAAGCACAGTTTTACCAGCTAAGGATGTTCATCTACTGTTCAGCTACTGTTGGTGGACGTCGTGTCTTTCGGAGCCAACCCTGTCCTCTGCAACGTTCCTGACTTGCATGGCGGTTAATGATAAGACGCGCTATATCGCAGTTAGCTTGTAAATCATGACGGTCCGAAGCTGTCCCCCGTGGCCCAGTGGCATACGCTGCTGACTGGCGGTTCAAGCCGCTAGTGGTCATGGGTTCGAATCCTGATGGATCCGTTGGATGCGCACTACTGATGATGCCCAACAGACTGAAACTGCAGTCTAGTGCATTTTCGGGCATGTGGAGGATTATCTGATTTGGAAACTGGCTGCGAAGAACCTCACTTAATTACATTTAGCATTTGTTTAGTAGGGATCTACTTCTGCTTACAGTGGCATAACCGTTCTAGGCTGTGTCTGATGTTAGTATGTCGTCTGCTTCTGGCCTTTCCCATTCTCTGAAATAGAACTTTTCACTCATGACTTTCGTCCCTAAGAAGTACAGAAGACAACCACCTGAAATACCCCTTCGATGTCCTTTGTTACTTGTTTTCAAGCTAAATCTGATGCTACAGTAGTACATTAAAGGCCTGGTCACCATCATCATCATAAACAACAGCACATCAGCTATTTGAGCTGACATCTTCCTGCCGATAACTTAACGAACTGAAGTCTAAAGAATAATAGGAGAGAGGCAGTTGGATCCCATATAAAATCTAAACGCCCGAATCAACCACTCAGAGTCAAGTGCCTGCACTTTGTCAAAAACATACGGTCATAAACAGCTGGTTATCATGCCAAGGCAGTATCAGTCAGTCGATTTCCTTGCGTTTTTCCTTGTCCCGCTTCATAATCAACCATTAGCCCTCAGTCTCATCTCTCACCTTTAGCTACATCCATTGACCTTGCTTCCGCCGGGGTCATTAACTTGCATGCACAGTTGTGGAGCGGCTGAGATGACAACGTTTTACTCAATTGATGTTCCCCTGCACTCAGCATTTACTTGTCACCTACTCACTGTTGTGTTGTCGAACCATGTGCTAACCAAATGCGCTCCTACAATATAATGTCAAATATTTTCTGTCAAACTAGATGATGCGATTACTACGGCCTGCATACAAATACGGCTTCGTCGGTTCACTTATTTAGGTGCAGGTATCATATATTGCAGTTAGATTATTGAATTGTGTAGTGTTATTTTGGCTGTTCGACGATTCTTCGAAATTCCACGCTTTTTCTTCTACTACTAGCCGAATTGACCCAAGTTCACAACAAAAAATTGCGATTCTGATTGGAATTGAGCGCCGCGGTCCATTAAAAATAACTCCATTTAGCTGTTAATCGTTGCCCGCCGCGACTCGGATGGCCTAAGAGTAGAGCTTTCCGCTGACATCCCAGAGACCCCGGGTTCGAGTACGTCCCTTCTATTTCTGGTTGATATGTACAAACCACTGTGAAATCGGTCGTGGAATGGAGTGTTGCCGACAGGCAACCTTCAGTATTTATCTGTTCCCTGTTTTATCTTGTCTGTTAAAGTGGCTTATACGAATCCGGTGTTCATGTGCTCGCCGAAATTTGCAGTCAGGTTACTGACGTTTCATCACCAGCAGAGGTGACATCACCAGTGCGCAGCGATAGGTCATGCGATGTCGTTTTTGTATGTAGGGCAATGGCCTTGACCCGCTGAATACGTCAGCTAACTGTTCACATTTACCTGCCGCTGTAAATTATGCCCAGTGCTCTCTAACGTAATGGGAGTAATCATCATTGAGACACCGACGGGTTGTTTAGGAAAATAGTATTAGAACAACATGTATTCCGCTAACACCGGTCATGTACAACCAACCTTCTGCTTGCGCGTATCACTTGAACGGAAACTGATAGTTGTTGCACCGAAACTGATGTCATATATCTTGACTTTCCCAAGACCTTCCAACGCCTACATCACCGCATTCTTCGTAAGTTTCAAACCTATGGCATTGTGGACCCTGTCCTTGGATGGATCGGAAATTTCCTTCTTCGGTGGACGCTGCGGCTCTGGGTTCAGGATTCATTGTCCGGTCCGATTGAGGTGGAATGCGGTGTTTTTAAGGATCAGTGTTGGGCTTGCGCTTGTTTTTGGTCTCCACTGCCTACCTTGCATGTGTCGTCAAGTCGCATTTCTTGCTTTTTACTGATGGCATCAAGCTATAGCGGGCGATCGGCAATCCGGAAGAATATGCGTTGTTACAATGAGACCTGAACCGTGCTTTGGATTGATTACTATTAATCTGCTCTCTTCCAGCGCGTGTAAGTGCTTTGTGATTTATGTTCACCACCAGTAAATTGGCGCATATAGGCTGGGAGACCACCTCTTGAAAACCGCGTCACAGGAGCGCAATCTTGAGATAGTGGTTAAACATGGTCTCGAGTGTTCGAAGCAAACCCTGAAGATATCAAGAACCGGAAACCAACGTGTTGGTATTTTATGAAGGGCGTTGGAGCGATTCGACTCTCATCTTACCGCAAGTGTTCCGTACGTATGTAAGGCCCTATGTGGAGGGCGTGATTCAGAGTTGGCGACTGGTTTAACGCGATTTGGATGCACGGTAGACTCAGCGAAAGGCAACCAAGAATTTGAAGGGCATGTTCCAACTGCGACTGAAAGTTCTGACTGTCAAGTTATCGTCGTCTACTTTGTGAATTCATTCTGATCTAGCAATTTTGAAAACAAGTCATGTTTACACCACATGAAACCTCGCGAGAACATCAAGCTAAGGGACACCTGCTGAAACTGGCCACTCAGTACAGCCAGATGGAATGTCGCCGGAATTTGTCAGCCGTATAACGTTATAAAATGCCACAACAACTATCTACCAGTTTTCCTGGTCTGCCGAAGCTTTTGCGTCAAAAACGAGACGTTGCCAAATAAATGAATTAACCGATTGCTCACAAACTTCTCTGCGCCGTATCTGTTGCGCTCTCCAACCATTTGTGTGGACTGTTACAAGGTTCCTCTCTACGAAGACGCCACGCATCAACCTGACCAAGTCCCTCTATCAGTTTCTTCATGCTTCTCTGCCACCTCATGGCTTAGCCTGCTTGCGGTTTCGCCCAACTTGGCGCAGTCACGGCATATACTGCAAACCGAGGAGGCCAGTCAATGGTCATAACGAACACATGGTCTATCCAACCTCAGTCCATGGGATATAGTAAACACTCGAGTGAGGAACTAGAAGACTTCTTGCCAAAAACTAACTGGCGGACCTCAACATTGCTCACCTGGTGTTCCCACGAGACGTGACCACTACTCCGCAACCACCGATGGTCCAACGCGGCCAAGCGTTTAATGTCTAGCGCGAACTGGCCAGGTCTTTGATCCATACTATAAGACCGGCCTTACCGCAGCGTTATACACCCTACCTTTCACCGACAGGCTGACATCTCTCCTTCTCCATAGATGATTGAGTCTGGAAAGCCACACACAACTTGCTGATACGCGAAGTTACTTCCGCATTGATGACGACCAGAGGTGACACAGCTACCAGGGTAAATGAACCGATCCACCATTTCCAGTGGCTGTTCGCTAATAGCTAGAACCGGAAATGTGTCGGTCAAGCAATCTTTACATAGCCATTGCATCGGACCCAATAAGAGCTATGTCGTCTGCATACTCCAGGTTTCTCGGTCGGTTACCTGGTAGAACTTCCAGCCATGTATAGTCTGAAAGAACGGAGTCAGTCATGCTTATTTCTATAATAAAGTTGACGAGGAAAAGACAGATCTCCCTTTCCCGGAGACCCTTACACCGCCACGGGAGTTACGGTAGAGACTGCATAATGGAAAGGAATTTAGCCAGCATGCCCTGTATGGATAACCAAAGCCGTAAGCTGTTGTGGTCAACAGAGGCCTTCAATTCAAGCAAAACCACTATATTCGGTCTTCTCTACGTGTCTCTGCTTTAAAAGTTGTCGAAGATTAAATATATGGTCGATGCAACCACGGCCAGGGTGGAAGGCAGCCTAGTTTTCAGTGAATCGCTTCTCACGGAGACCAGTAAGTCGTCGAAGTATGTTACTTGTGAGATATTTGAATACAGCGGAAGCAAGGCTAGTGCGTTGATGATTTTCGCACAGAATACGCTGCCTCCTCTTGAACATGGGCACGGCAGTTGACAGACCCCAGTCTGAAGACACATTTTCAGTGTCCCAAGTTGTGTTCAAACCATAAGCAACTCCAGTCAACAGAGAGTCAGCACCATCTTTCAGCAAACTTGGAGGAAGGTCGTCGGTTCCCGGAGCCTTGTTTCACTTAATCAAGGCGAGCTGATGTCGAACCTCATCCAAGTGGGTGGTGTAACATCTACTTCCCTCGTCAGCTCAGGGAATTTTAAAACGGCAGTGTCACAGCGGACCTACGTTCCGCCCAACAGGTTAATCGACGAGGATGAGAATGTATCAGTTGTCCATATTTCCCAACTTTTATCTCACTAACTGAAGTCTTTCTCGTACCCGTTTTACGGATGAGCTTGAATAGCACTGCATTTCTCTATCTCATGGTCCGTCGCCATCCACCAATGTTCCCATTCGTTTCGAAGACTCCCTATCAGTTGTCGGTTCTGGATGTTACGGACTCTTAGTAACTCAGATCTCATCGGAACCTGTTTACATGATGATCGATGCCTCAGAGGTCCATCCACGATGCCCAACTTTGGTGCACAGCAAGTGACAAAGGCATTATTCATGGTACGTTTCAGACAATCCCAGTCCGCGTTCTGCTCACCAACCTCCTTCATCCCTAATACTTGGTGGGCCAGTTCGTCATGATATTGCTGAACGGCAGATTGAGAGTTCGCCATGCAGCTAAAAAGGTTAGAAGATAGGCGCTTCTTTGAAGCGGGAAGAGTGAGCGCCAAGCAAGCGTGCACTAGAGCATGCTCGGAATTCAGGCACGCACTCCAAATCGACCGACAGTCTTGTTCTGGTGTGCGCCATCTGGGGCTGATAGCAATATAATCCGTTTGCGTCCAGATCATTGAGGAATTCGCTGGGCGCCAGGTGACACGGTGTGGTCGGCACACTGTTGCAGGACTCGACCACCATTGCCTGTTCGGCGTGCATAGACTCCGAAGTGGCCGCTTAGTTGTTGTTCACAGTCGGAAAATCGACCCACTTGGGCATTCATGTCACTATCAGCGATCACGATGTCAGTATTCTTAGCCGTACCAGGAACAGATGAGAGTTGTTGATACAAATCCTTTTTGTTACTTTCTGAACTGCATTCAGCAGGGGCATAAACCGAGGCGATGCAAAGCTACATCGTCTTCAGACACTGCCTATTAACTCCAATGGAGTTAAGAAATCGAATGGTACACATGCGGCTGTTCACTGGTATGCAATTGAGGGAATCGTCTTCAGCACGTTTGCTGAGGGCAATACCAACAATGTCGATAACTTGAACAATTGACTCGGTATCGTCAGAGAGGCGAAGAGTGTAGTCATCGTCGTCCGAATCAGAACTAGGGAGTCGGAGGTTTGTCACGACGCTGTTATCATGTCTTTATGTTTCGGAGGCACATTATACATCAATACCTAGTGAGAGTTAGTGCTGACTACTGGCCGGTCTGACCTAGATTGCGATTTTCAAAGAACCAACGTGAAATGATACTCTTGGCTACGTGTATCGATGGCAGCAGCTGCGAGTTCAGCGGCAGTCTGTTACTCAGTAGACGAGGAAAAGGAGAGGGGAGAGGAGAGAGAAGAAGACTGGGGAGTTTTGCCGATGTCGTCGAACGGGCAGATGATTCTCTCCGAAGGGTTTCGTTCGGGGTGCCTTTGACTCAACAGTCTTACAAAACAATGGGGTACATAGGAGTTCGAGTCTTTGGCTTAATAGCCTGACTCACAATGCAGTGGGGAGCAAGTCCAGCTTTGGAGTGTGAATGTAGAAACCCATACGGGCCTGTTTGAGAGCTATCACTCAGCTTTTGAAGATTTAGAATAGTGCACACGTGTTTTACGACAGCGTGATGTTACGCACCTGCGACCAAGACCAGCCGCAGGTGGGAGTTGATGGGTTTGCACCAATTTTACCAGGGGCTGCTTGGCTTGAGGCATGTGATAACAAACCATTGAGCACCGGATGGTGCCCTCCTGTCGTCAAAGACAATGCTTGGTGCTCTTGCTCTGTGCCACTCGAGCTGTGGGCTTATAATCCGTGGATCTATTGTCTCCCATGACTTGGTTTTAATGGAAGTGGGCCATTGACCTCTCCCTAACCTCCGAAGAAGATTGTGAGACTGAGTTAGTCTGGCCACTGACCATTGAGCTGCCTGATATGAGTGGCTCTGAAACCACTTGCAAAGTGCCACCCAGCGTTGCTCAGTGAGCCATAAGAGTACGCTAATCATCACAACACGCTAAGGTGCAGTTTCGTTGCGCAAACACTGCAGTCATCTAGTTCCTATGCCATTGAGATAGGCGTATGTACATGTGCGCACGTGTGAATATGATAATGAATTTACAACTTGCGGTATACTTGCTATGCGACCACCTGTTTATGGTGACCGGCCGATAACATCCCCAACGTTTTCTATGAGTTATGTCCCTGTACGTGAATCTGTCCAAGGCGGCCACTTTTGGTCGGCCCCTTGAGTGGTTGCATTTTTTTGATCTGGTATTTCAGCCAGACCGTTTTCTGGGATTTGCAAGCCATGACATTTTTACCCTTATCAAGTCTTTGTTCCATTGTCTACCGGTCGTTTGATACCGCACTCGAGCTCCCTCCGGGTGCCAAGTCATCCCATTCGCATACATCGTCGTCTGCTGTTTGTTAACTTTGCGTCCAGTCGGCTTAAATCCCAAGTAAGTCATTCGATGATGCGCTTGGTGAATGAGTAAACCTAAGGAGTTGAGTTGGATTGCTGCATCATGCTTTACAGCATGTGGAGCTCTCGTAGCACTGGCCACGGCAGCTATCATAAAACAGTACACCGATGCGCCGCACTTCGCTGCCACGCCAAAACCACCACCACTCATGCAAAGGCCGAGAATACTGCTCTGCTTCGAAGCGGCAAGCTCTTGGTTACAATGACACCGAATGATCAGTCGAAGTTGGTGACACTTGTTACTTCCCTCTCCTATCACGTTGCAGTCATACGCCTAAATCACTTCACCATTCACCCGCTAGGACACACTACTTACCTTGCTCCGCCTTTTTCGACAAGGATGTGACACTAATGTTGCGGCTTGTAATCATCTGGATTTTTCTCCAGCACCCGGTATTTTCCGGATAATACTGATCTACCTCACTCATTCATTTTAGCGAAATTTATTTACTTCTGTTACAGTGTAACCTCATCACAACTCCGCCTTATTTGTGCTTAACTTCAACTGCAGTTGCAACTCCCATCACTATCTACTCGCAGATTCCGTCAACTCAGCAATTTTGGCTGATCTGGAGCATAGTCTCTTCATTCTTTGTTTGGACGACACGGCTCACTTGCCCACCAGCCAGCCTACGAGTGGCCCGATCACATTGGACCCACGTGAAACTGCCAGTGCAGCAAATTTACTCCACGGCAATTTGACTAACTCAGGGAATCGATGGTTCGACAAGACTCTACAATTCATCATATCCCGTGATGGTTCGATGGGCGTTAATTTCGAACATACACCTTCGGATGCGGGAGCTTTTGTTCCAATAACTTCTGATGTATATAGTGCCTTCGATGACCTGGTCACAGACGCGTCCGGTTCTTTGCCACAGTTCGCGTTTCCCAAAGAATTAGACTGGATTCCCTTTCCGAACATGACAGAAGAGATTGCACTTGCCTTTGATTCGTTGAAGCAGTGAGTCCTTCTGCAGCTTCCCACTATATTATTGAAAACTTCATACTTACTCAATGGACGGTGCAGTTCCTAATCCGTCTGTGTAGTGCAACAGGGTGCTACACAGACTTTTGCCGCGTGACGACCACCAATCGCGCGCAGACTATAGATGCCATAAGGTCTCTCGCACCTACACTGATTCGAACCGGTGACCTCTGAGTTACGAAGCACCCGCCTCGTCTTTTCGCTCATCGACCGACTAATGCCCTAAATGGATTCTACCAAATTGCTGTCCATTTGATACATCTTTTCGATCTGTCCCGGTCTGCACTTAAGCAAAAACGATAGTGTCCTTTTTTCACCTCTGCGCTTCGGAACAACTTCCCTACTTTAGTTATATAAAGCCTATTTTGACTTGACTTGAAATGGCATACATTCTGACAGCGCATCGTCTTTGGATCTGATTTGGCTGCTTTATTGATAATTATCAGTGGTCGGTAAGCTTGTCCGAATGCCGCTCTTTTCCATCTATTAGCACTTGGGCTACGTTTTCCATATCGTATAGGGGTTATGAAATCCGGATTATCAGTACCTCGCAGCCTACCTTGGTGATCATTACTTTTAAGGCTGGTAGCCCAAGCCCTTAGTATTTTTGATCACTTCATTTTGCTGCTATCTTCGAGCAGTTGCTGTCATGTTTTAATTTAGTCTACATCTATAATTCGGAGTTCGCAGGTTTACGTGTGTACTTCGAACAGAGGTGACAGTTGTTGGAAATCAATCCTGTTTATCAGGTATGTGGGAATGAAACCATCAGCTAACGTACACCTTACTGCCGGTTTTCTCCATTGGTTTGGATTTATTGACGTTCCTACTCCTTAATACAATTTTCATAATGTTGGTTATCTTGTTTGTGATTCAAGAGGATCTTCGCATATGTGAAGCGGCGCCTAAGGCCTATAGCTAATATCCCAGTGTTAGAAGGCTCAGAAGGACAGCCTCTAACCTCAAGTACAGATCGTGCGTCAGCATTGGCAACGCACTTCGCCTCCGTATTCGCAAGTGACCAGGTGTCTGTAATGAGTTCGACGAGCACCGCTCCAGCCGAACTTAACAACCTGGACTGCAATATTGAGGATGTACGCAAGATTCTAGCAAATCTTGACGGGACGAAACCTGCTGGGCCAGATGGTATACACCCACTAATCCTCAAGTCATTATCGACCATAATTGCACCTTCTGTAACTGAACTGTTTAACAGGTCACTATCCACTGGTCTACTACCGGACGACTGGAAATGCTCAGTCCTAAAGCCTATCCCGAAAGGTGGTAACCCAAGCAAAGTGGATAACTACCGGCCGATCTGCCTGACGGCAATTTTGGCAAAGACGCTCGAGAGGATTGTGAAGAAGAGCCTTCTGCAACTTCTCGAGTCGAAAAACCTGTTAACCTCCGCACATCATGGTTTCCTGAAAGGTCGTTCGTGCATCACCAACCTACTGTTGACGAGGCACGAATGGTTACAAGCGCTGAACAAAGGCCAATCGGTTGACGTCATTTACATTGACTTCAGTAAGGCTTTTGACAAGGTTAACCATGCAGTGCTCCTTGACCGACTGAGGATGTGCGGTGTTGGTGGTTCGCTGCACAAATGGATCAGCAATTTCCTTATTGATCGGAAGTGGAGAGTCCAGGTGGACAACCATCTAACTGAGTGGTATCCATCGAGCAGCGGCGTGCCCCAAGGCACTGTACTGGGCCCGATATCGTTTCTAATCCATATAAACGATGTTCCTCAGCTACTACAATCACATTGTGCTTTGTTCGCAGATGACTTGAAGGTGTGGAGAGTAATCCGCACACTCAATGATTGCGATTTACTTCAGCAGGATCTCGACCGCCTCGCAACATGGTCTGCAGAGGTTAACCTTCCGATCAACCCTGCCAAGTCTCAATTCATGAGGTTGGGTAAGTATGATCACGGCCGAACGTACACAGTGGCTGGACAACCGTTGCATCCCGCTCCTTTCGTGCGCGACCTCGGTGTACTCTCACGCTGCGACCTAAAGTCCATTGACAACACGAATAGGCTGTACCAAAACAGCCTTCGTATGCTTTGGGCTCTCAGGCGCAGCTTTAGCACTTGGTCCGAAGAGATTGCCACTCGACTCTTCGTCTCGATAATACGACCAATGCTAGAGTACGGCACTCCCGCATACTGTCCCATCACCCGGGGTGAAGTAGAAAAGCTTGAGCGGGTGCAGCATGTAGCCACTAGGCTGATTCCCAACTTACGAGGAATGCCATACGAAGACCGATGTAAAAAACTAGGGTTATACACCCTATCTTATCGTCGGCTGAGGGTTGACCTCATCATGACGCACCGAATATTACATCTGGGTGATTACCCCATGTTGAGACAACTACTTCATCTGCGCACACCAAGCTGCACGCGAGGACACCGGTATAAACTTATCGTCCCGGATTTGAAGCGGGTCGCCCATCAACTCTGTTTCGAACGCAGAGTGGTGAATGTCTGGAACGACCTGCCTCAGCATATAGTAGAAGCGAACACAGTGGCTAAATTCAAGATGCTACTAGACAAACAATTTGCAGAGGCAAAGTACAAAGAGCGAAACGATAAATAAAAAGTTCATGTCCGAAAACGACGAATGATGCAGCTACACAGAGCAAACTCTACTCGCTGCTTCGCATCAGTTCTCAGTTCTCAATTCAGCTCACCATCGCTAGGCTGCTTCTCACGAGGGTACTTTTAATTTTCAGCTTTCCTCTATCGAACCATCTGTGACTTCTCGTAATGGTCTACTTTCACTTTATCATGCAGTTTGAGCTGATTGGTTCTTGTCAAAGATAAACGGCTTTTCGCGCCTTATGGGTATAAAATAGCATCGGATTATGCCATCGCGACGAGACTGGACTTTACTATAGTGTGGTGGTTTGCTTTTACTAACCACCTATTTAGCTATGCTGGATTGCGCCTTCAGAGCCACACATAACAGATTAGCCAGTAGTTAGAGGCCAGACCAACTCATTCTCCTGGCCCTCCAGGTTGGTGGTTGGAATGAGGACGGTTCCTTACTCCGTAAAATGGACTCTTCGTAGCACAAAGCCAAAACGCCGCTATCTTGAGGTCAGGTTTTTGAATCAACATGGACTATGGTTGTGTTCACTAATCTTTCTTCGGATAGCCTTCGAGAGTTGATGAGGAACGTCGTCCTCGACGGTACTAGCGACAATCACTGTGTCTTCTTCTGCGGCATGTTTGGAACTAAGGCGGGCGAGATAGTCGACTTGACCACAATCCTGAGTTCGGCAGTAACGAATTTCGACGTTATAACCCAGAAGGATGACCTCCCAACGCTGAAGTCGGTTAGCTAAGTATGCGAAAATGCTTTTCTTTGACCTGAAGATTGAAAATAGGGGCTTGTGATCGGTCAATAGCGTGAATCGCCGGCCATACAGCATCCTGTGGAACTTGGTGACGGCAAAGATGATGGTAAAGTCTTTTTTCTCGATTTGACCATAGTTCTCCGCAGGCGTCATGGTGCAGGAGACGTGCATAACAGCTTTCTCGGAACCATTTGGGAATCGGTAGGAGAGAACTGCTCCGATCCCTTAGGCTGGGTTGTAGAGTGTCAGCAGTGGATCAGAACTCAGCATGGCTTTCAGGCGAACGAAAGCTTTCTCGCATGCAGGGGACTGGTGCCAAGTAACGTCCTTTTGCAATAACCAATTGAGCGGGGCTCTAACATCGTTTAGCGATGGCAGGAAGGCGCTATAGTAGCTGATGAGATCCAGGAGGACCGCAGTTGTGACACATCCGCTGGAGCTGGCATTTGCTGGATGGCTCTGACGTTCTCAGGATCAGGATGACGACAATTGGCATCAAAAATGATGCGCCTACAGAGGGACCATGGGTGGCTTGCGCTGCACCACCCATAGTTCCACCCACACACCCCATATCCGGTGTAAACCCGAAGGAATAAGACCGGGAGGCATGCGGATGGGAGCCACGTTTCATCAACGGAGCCGGCCCACACTCCTTCAACAAGCAGAACGGAAGCATTCCGGCCTAATTGGGAAATCATACACACCAGACGTACACAAGGCGGTGGCTGGACCGTAGCCCGTTCCACACAGAATGGAACCACTCTTTGAGCCTAGCACCGTCACGAGGACGGTGCACTCCGTCCCCTCCAGCGACGACCAACTGTCTCCTGGAGCCAGTATGGACGAGGTAGTGGGTAATAGACAGGTAGGCACCTTGTCAACATTCACATCAGGCGCATCCACACAGGGGAGCTCAAGCAACATCTACTTCTGAAATGCAAGATTACTCATCACGCAGGCAAACGTACCACATACGCCGCCTTATTGGCCTGGATTAGTAAATTGAATGGGAACATACTCATGGTGCTTCTATTCCGCATACAATTGTGCCTTCTCCGGCACCTGAGAAACCGCCCTTTTGAGTAGTTCACGGAATTCGCATCGATCAAATTTGCCTTGGATTCGCAACACCTGAAATCAACATGAGTTTGTCATAAACTCACCTTCTTCATGTTCTGGTAATATTATTTTCGGTTTGCTCGAATGTCGTTCTACTGCACTAAGTTAACCGTACAAAAGCGGTATGAAGATCCTCGTGGAATTCATTCGGTATACATATATACATAGATTGGCGTCATCTGTGTCCAATGGCAGTTCGAATGCAACATATGTACATGCGTTTATCCAAACTTAAGTGTGAGCTGTCACAAACTGGATAGAGACACATTAGACATCATCATCAATGGTACGACAAACGTGTATGGGTTTCGTTTGGAGGTCAGGCTAACAACCACTTTCGCAGGTATGAGAATAACTACCCAATACGAACTGTTGATGTTTTCTTCTACATTTAGACGTGACTGCCTTAAATCTTGGGCATCCATATTTGAAGGAATCCGATGTGGCAATAGTAAAGCAACTGCTAGGTAGAATGATGACTAGACTACTGGTACA